GTGTCCTCACCTGTGGATACTGCGCTCCGTGCTTCTCTCGCACGCCGTTGCGACACAGCGTGTAGTTGTAGAAGCGGCTGTTCTTCACCAATCCGAGCCATTCCCTCCACCCGGCGGGAACGTACGAACCGTTGTACTCATTCAGGTACTTTCCAAAGAAGGCTGGAGAAAAAGCACAGCTGTGTTAACAGAAGCCTCACAAAGCCCGAGTGCGTGTTTGTGTGTTTGCCTACCTGTCCTGTATCCAGTGTCGTTGAGGTAAACGCCGAAGGTCCGTGGCTCGTGCTGCCGTTGCCAAGACGGCGAGGAACAGTTCTCGTTGTTGGTGTAGGTGTTGTGGTTATGAACATACCTGAGGGACACAGAACACGTGTTACTACAAGAGGCTCGTGTAAAGTTATTTAATAGTTCTGCTAATAGCGCTTTGGTAATAAAACACATCCATTATAGGATTTTCACCCTTTCCTTTACACATGAAGACATTAAAATCACCTGTCTGATATTACTAACGTCTTCGTTGGGCCGCCAAACCAGATTTGACCTGTCGGGGCACAGATTATCTCACACTGAGGCATGCAGCTTATTAATTTAACACCTGCATCAGGCTGGTTCTCTGCAGAAACCCACAGCCAAGACACGATAACTGGAAAAAGCTGGAAATGACTCATAAGCAGCTGGTTGCTTACAGAACATAAGAGCAGAAGAATAGAATAACCCGTTATTGTCATTGTTCAAGGAACCTGTGATCTGTCAGACGCCACTGCTGTTCTTGGGTAGTTGTTGTTGCTTCAAAACCGCGGGCCTCCTCCTGACTCAGAGAGGAGCTACTACTTAAAGGTGGTGTAAGTGGGGAAAGTGAGTAGACTAGCCGATGGACAGCAACTGTAATAATTGGTGGAATAACTGGTTACGGCATTCGGCAAATCATCAAGCTCGGTATAGGTCGAACTTGATCAATCCTTAAGTGTAAATGAGCTTCATTATCCTCTTTGACTTGATTAAAAAAATTAACATCATTTTGTATTTAATAAGATTTGAAACGAGCACCCAACCATGAACTCATCAGTAAAGTCTTTACTGAGGTCAGGAACGACCTTTTTCCTGTAGACAGTTTAAACAACCGCTTTCTTTTTGCACTTAGACGAGTCGCCCCCTGCTGGCCAACGGAAAAAATGCATCTCGGCTCTGGCTTCACTTTTCGGGTGTAGCAGGCACCTCCATCTTTGGAACTGTACTTACTTCCCAGTGAGCATGCTTGAGCGTGACGGACAGCACATGGGCGTGGTCACAAAGGCATT